ACCTAGGAGTTGGAACCCCTAGGAAAGCAGCATTAGTAGTAACAGTGATGCTAAGCTAAAGCTAAGCTAAAGCTAAGCTAAAGTTAAGCTAACGCTAAGCCACAGCTAAGCTAAAGCTAAGCTAAAGCTAAGCTAAAGCTAAGGTAAAGCTAAGCAACATCTAAGCTAAAGCTAAGCTAAAGCTGAGCAACAGCTAAGCTAAAGCTAAGCTACAGCTAAGCTAACGCTAAGCTAAAGCTAAGCCACAGCTAAGCTAAAGCTAAGCTAAAGCTAAGCTAAAGCTAAGCGACAGCTAAGCTAAAGCTAAGCTAAAGCTAAGCTAAATCTGAGCAACAGCTAAGCTAAAGCTAAGCTACAGCTAAGCTAAAGCTAAGCTAAAGCTAAACTAAAACTAAGCTAAAGCTAAGCTACAGCTCAGCTCAAGCTAAGCTAAAGCTAAGCTAAAACTATGCTAAAGCTAAGCTAAACGCTAAGCGAAAAGCTAAGCTAAAGCTAAGCTACAGCTAAGCTAAAGCTAAGCTAAAGCTAAAGCTAAAGCTAAAGCTAAAGCTAAAGCTCCCAGGGGACTGGGGGAAACCGCGGGGCGGGGACCGGGGGAACCGCCCGGGGCGGTTAGCATTGCCCGGCCCCTTTAAGCTAAGAGAGTAAGAACCCTTCTAGGCAGAGCCTAGGTAGGGAAAAACAGTTCAACAATTTTCTGGGGACGATTGTTCGATAATTGTTGGTGTATTCTTCAAACAACTGTTTTAAACTTTTCGTCGAACATAGGCCTGTAGCGGCACAGGCCCGACCTAGTCCTGGGGGCCTCTTCGGCAATCTCGGGGCCCTGTTTGGATTCTCCTGGGGGCCGTCTTGAGGCCGTGGCGGCGGCCCTTCCGGCCGGCAGGAGCGCCTGGCAGCCCGCAAAGTCGAGCATACGACCACCTGTCAAGCACACATGGGGGCAGGCACGATTTTGGCTTCTGGATGCCCCATAGGGGGTCTTCTCGGGGCCTTCTTGGGGCGTCTTGTGGGCCTCCCCGGCCGGCTTGAGGCCATCCGGGGCGGACTTGGAGCCCTCCCGGGCCGTCTTGGGGCTCCTTGAGGCTCTCTTCGGAGCCTCCCGGGGCAGATCTCGAGACCCCTTGGGGTCCCCCCGGCTGTGCGGTGGCGTCCCCAGTTCTGGTCAGCCCGGGGCAGCCCCAGGCGGCCGAGAATTCGAGGGGCACTGCCCCCCAGATGGCTCGTCTTGGCGGCGGAAACCCATGCCAAGAGACTCCCTGCTTGCCTCCAGGGTGCCCTGGGCTTCCTGGGTTTCGATGGTTTTGCCATGGAGAGCGTGACGTTCCCACACCGAACATCAACGGACGTCCTGGGGTCTCGGGGTTGGGTTTCTTGCGGAAGGCTTCTTGTGGTCCAGCTCCTACTGTGGTCGGCCCCCTAGTAGGCAGGAACGTCAGACAGGACTGGAGAGACAGTAGACGAGGCCACACAAGGGTGGCACAAGGAGCGCAGGGCAGCAGTCCTGCAGGAGCTTTGCAGGCTTGCGGCCCCAAGGGGGCCAGCGGGTCTGCCCAAGAGAGCGACGACGATGCTGGCGAGGGGGGAAGTCCTCCTCCTCCTCCTCCTCCTCCTCCTCCTCCTCCTCCTCCTCCTCCTGCTCCTCCTCCTCCCCCTCCTCCTCCTCCTCCTCCTCCTCCTCCTCCTCCTCCCGAGGGTTCAACGCCGACGAGGGTACTGACATTTCAGCGTGTGGCGCTGTATCATACACAGCGCCCTCCTCATGAGCTGGTCCAGGGCGCTTGCGCAGGGCATGCAGCATGTCTCGTCGGCGGTTCCGTCCTGCCGGCGCCTGTCCTGCCTCCGCCTCTGTCCCCGTGGCCTCCATCCGCCTCCCCCTCCCCCAGTGCTGGGCTTGTGCTCGAGAGTCTGCCACGTTCACCGCTCGTTACTCCTCCTCCTCCTCCTCCTCCTCCTCCTCCTCCTCCTCCTCTCCTCCTCCTCCTCCTCCTCCTCCTCCTCCCTCCTCCTCCTCCTCCTCCTCCTCCTCCTCCTCCTCCTCCTCCTCCCCCCCCCTCCTCCTCCTCCTCTCCTCTCTCCGCCTCCTCCTCCTCCTCCTCCTCCTCTCCTCCTCCACAATTGCTCAATATGAATACTACTCTCCCTCTTCCCCCGATGACGGTTTGAACGTATTAGCCCCCCCCGCGTATTGTTTTTTACACACGGGATTGTCCGGAGTTGGGTTTTCGCCTGCATTTTTTCCAAAATGCTGCTCTCCCTGAGGCGCCGACTTCATTTTCGGGCCCCGCTCGTTCCGAATCGTGCTCCCGCTGCAGCGCTGGCCTCATTTCCGTGCTTCCGCTCGTTCCGAATCGTGCTCCCGCTGCAGCGCTGGCCTCATTTCCGCGCTTCCGCTCGTTCCGACTCGTGCTCCCGCTGCAGCGTTGGCGTCATTTCCCGTGCCATGCCACGGCATGCAATGCAATGCTAGGTTGATGCTGCGCTTTGCGGTGCTCTTCTACGCCATGCCATGCCGTGCTCTACAATGCATCGCGTACCCTTTCGGGATCATTGCCTTGCTCGACATCCGACTGTGCGAGTAGAGAGGGGATCTACGCCATGGTAAGGGATGGAATGGAGGGGTAGGATTTCAGATATGACGCGAGCGCGCCTAGCTTGTCCCCCCGCCCCCCCCCTCCTCCTCCTCCTCCTCCTCCTCCTCCTCCTCCTCCTCCTCCTCCTCCTACCCCCTCCCTCCTCCTCCTCCTCCTCCTCCTCCTCCTCCTCCCTCCCACCCCTCCTCCTTCCTCCTCTCTCCTCCCGCCTCCTCTCCTCCTCCTACCTCCCTCTCCTCCTCATCCGCCTCCTCCTCCCCTCCTCCTCCTCCTCCTCCCCTCCTCCTCCTCCTCCTCCTCCTCCTCCTCTCTCCTCCTCCTCCTCCCCTCCTCCTCCCCCTCTCCGCCTCCCTCCTCCTCCTCCTCCTCCGCCTCCGCCTCCTCCTCCTTCCGCCTCCTCCTCCCCCTCCTCCCCCTTTCCTCCTCCTCCTCCTCCTCCTCCTCCTCCTCCTCCTCCTCTCCTCCTCCCCTCCTCCTCCTCCGCCTCCTCCTCCCCTCCTCCGCCTCCTCCTCCTCCTCCTCCCTCCGCCTCCTCCTCCTCCTCCTCCTCCGCCTCCTCCTCCTCCTCCTCCTCCTCCTCCTCCTCCTCCTCCTCCTCCTCCTCCTCCTACTCCCCCTCCTCCTCTCTCCCCTCCTCCTCCTCCTGCTCTCCCCTCCTCCCTCCCCTCTCCGCCTCCTCCTCCTCCTCCTCCTCCTCCCCCTCCTCTCCTCCCCTCCCTTCCTCCTCTCCTCCTCCTCCTACTCCTCCTCCGACTCCTCCTCCTCCTCCTCCTCCTCTCCTCCCTCTCTCCTCCTCCTCCTCCTCCTCCTCCTCCTGCTGGCCTCCTCCTCCTTCTCCTCCTCCTCCTCCTCCTCCTCCTCCTCCTCCCCCTCCCCCTCCCTCCTCCTCCCAGCAAGGGGCACGCCCTGGCTTGTGCACGAGGGAGCGGCGAGGGAGGCGGAGCGGGGGAGCGGCGGCGGGGGCAGGGCGAGGGACTGGCGACGCCTGCGGGAGCCTGCTCCGTCCACGGGGGGCGCCGGGAGCTTTCTTTCGGGGAACAAAAATCGCGGGGGCGGAAAAGAGGGGGGTGATGACTAGGGGGGGGTGGATATCATGGCGGGGGCCATGATATCTCCCCAGATCTCGTGGCGCCTCTTCTTGTTTCATTGCGTCCCTGGCCCCCCCCGCTGGGCCGCGCGCATGCCGCCGGTCATGATTTGCACCCCGCCCTCTTGGACACCCCCCTCTTGGCCGCTCCCGAAAGTCAGGAGGGGAACAAAAACACACAGACACAATGAATCGTCGGGTCCCAGGAACATGTAGGAGAATATGGGGAGCGGGGGAGACGAAAGTCCAGAAAATATGCGAAACTCTGGGGGCTCCGGGAGCTTCCTGTCGGGGAGCAGAAGTCAGGAGGGGAACAAAAACACACAGACGCACAATGAATCGTCGGGTCCCAGGAAAAATATTGGAGAATATGGGGAGTGGGGGGGGTGGGGAGACGAAAACCCAGGAAATATGCGAAACTATGGGGGATCCTTTTACTTGTGTATTTGTTTGTGCGTCCTGGGGCTCCTTCAAAAAAGCAGCATAAACATAAAAACTCGGAGGTCCGCGCGGGTTTCTCGGATCGGCGCTGGGGCCCCCCCGCGGCGCCTCCGGCGCCGCCCGTGGCGCGCTCCGCGCACCAGGGAGGGGGATCCAGCGCCGATCCGAGAAATCCGCGCGGACCTCCGAGTTTTTTATGTTCATGCTACTTTTTGTTTCTCTATTCTTCGCATCACCCTGTGACCATTTTGAGTTTCCTGTAAGCCCTGACAGGCTCGACAGGGTTCAGTGGGCCTTTGGACCTGGCGAGGCTCTTTTTTTGACTTGGTCTGAACGGAAGTGGTTCGGATAGCGCTCGAACCCCTCGAAGAGCCTTGAGATCTGTCGAAGCATGTGCGGATAGACTGGGAGGGGGGGTGCGGCGGAAGGGAGATTACCTCCACGGGAGGGAAGAAACACGGTGACCATGACCAAGATGTCGTGGGATCTTGTTGGAGCCGATCTTGGTCAGGGTCCACGTCGGCTGTCGCCGATTCGCGAGGATGACCCACGAATTGACGGTGACAAAAATGGACGCTGCCCAAGATCGGCACCGAGGGTTCCACATTCAGTCTTGGTCATGGTCAAACCACTTTCTGGCGGGCCAATTTTCCGCCATCGCTACCACAGGTAGGACGGGGGAGAAGGGAGGATGGGGAGGTCCTCCTTCTCCTCCTCTTTCTCCTCCTCCTCCTCGTCCTCCTCCTCCTCCTCCTCCTCCTCCTTCCTCTCCTACCTATGGTAGTGGTGGTGGAACATCGGCCCATCATTTTCCACTCCATCCTCGGGAGACGGGCTCTTCGCTCTCCCGCTGTGCTTCTGCCGAGCTCCCCTGCGAG